TGCTCAACTTCTCCTGGACCTTTTTCTTTCTTTGGATGCCCCTTGTTGTTGTTGCTAGGTGTCAAGGAGTTGGTTCCCACTCATAGCAACCCTATGTACAACAAAACGAAACACTGCTCTGTCCTGGGCCATCCTCACAATTGTTGTTATACTTGAGCACATTGTTGTAGCCACTGTGTCAATCTATCGAATTGAAGGTCTTCCTCTTTTTTGCTGATGCTTTGTCACCTAAATTCAATAAGCAAAACCTGAATAAGTTGCTATACCCTTCTAACTTGCTCTTCTTTCTGTATATTCTTTCCAGTTAGTGATGCCATTGTTGACTAAGTAAGCTACCAAACCCCCAAACCATGGGTTAAGTCTTAATTCTTCCTTCTCCTTTACTGGTAACATCTAATAGACCATTAAGTCTAATCATATTTACCTCAGAATTCTTTCTTGCATGGATGCACTCCTCTCCATTCTTACAAACATTACCTTAATCCAAGTTCTTACTCTTTCTCTCTTTGACTGTATTTTAAAAAATCCTAAGTACAGTCCTAATGTCTACTGCCTCATCTTCCCAATCTATTACCACCTCTTCCAAATACAAAAAAACAAATAGACAAACGAAAAAACTGTTGCCATCCAGTTGATTCCAACTCATGGCCACCACATGTGTTATAGAACTGCTCCATAGGGTTTTTTTGGCTGTAATCTTTACAGAAGCATATCGCCAGGTCTTCCTTCCATGGCACCTCTGGGTGGGTTCAAACCACCAACTTTTAGTAAACCATTTGCACCACCCCCATCTTAAGCTTAAAGGTTGTCAATTACATTCAGTTGCCTACAGGGTAAAATTAAAACATGCCTGCATATTATATATGATTCTTTTTAAGCATTCCTTAATTTTTCAGTCTCTCCTCTATTCTCCCCACACAACAAAAGTATCAAGCAATTTTTTCAAGTCACATCAAAGTCTTGGCCATTTCGTCTTTCCCTATTTTGTCTTTATTTCAATTGTCCCATCTACCTAGAATCCTTTTCCTCTCCATTCACCATAAATACACACTTGCTTTCTACTCATTCAGCAAGGCCGCAATTAGGGTGGGGTCATTTATGGTGCTTTCTCTTGCTTAAATCCTATCCCAAATTAATTATTCTGTCATCTGTTATCATGTGCTTTTGTGCATGCCTCAATTATATAATTTATTACATTGGTTAAGAGCATTTTTAAAAATATTTTGGTAGATTTTCTGTATCTTAATTTTGTGTATATTTGAGCATCTTGAGGGAAGGCACCAAGTATTCTTCTCTGCAATCCCCTAGGTATTCTACAATGCCTAGCATAGACAGAGTGTTCAAAGTACAGTTGTGGATTTGAATTAACTACACTTTGGTTTCCTTATAGGTAAGACATGTAATTTGAAGTTGGGAAGTGCTTGGTATAAAGAAGTAAAAATAACTGTAAAAGAAAAATTTAATTAGATGGTCTGAGCATGGAGCGCTGTTGGTGTAAATAGTTAAGCGTTTAGCTGCTTAACCAAATGGTCGGCAGTTCAAATCCACCAACTGCTCCTTGGAAATCATATGGGGCAGTTCTACCCTGTCCTATAGGGTTGCTATGAGTTGCAATCGACTTGACGGCAACAGGTTAGGTTTTAGGTTTTTGGTATTATGAGAATGGCTTTCAAATTCCTTTCTGTTACTAATATATCTTCTTCATCCTATAAGTGTACACCCTAGATCCAGAAAGCACTCTGTCCCTTCACTCCAGAAGTGCAATCTATTCATACCTATTTCGGTTTTAATCAAATACATTTGCTAACAGCAATGTTTCATGAACCTGGTCTTGGAATGCAAACTTTACTTAGTGAACTTTGCATACTCTGTAGTTCTGAATAACAAATGTCTGTATTTCTAAAATAAGTTTCCCTGCTTTAGAATTCTGCTTGTTAATTTTTAAGAGACCTCAAAGAAAAATGATGACTTGCATTAGAACTTCTCAGTTTAAAGGAGAAAAAACAGGAATTTAGGGTCACTGAGAGATTAAAGGCAGTGTGCTATGGTATACGTAAATGGAATGTCTTTCAAAAGCTTTCCAGGGTCTACCTGCAAGCAGATGGCAGTGAGGCATGTAAAAGGGGGCGTGCTCCTTTTTCTTTCATATATTTTTTAAATGTAAAATTGTGGACAAACTGATGACAAATAGTTTTGGATTTGCAATCCGATTCCTCATTTTACATGAATGACTCAGCTTTTAAATTGTAAATCATAAATTCGAAATGGCTCCTGCCTAATCCATCTCTAAAATAAGTAAAGTTTATACATTTGAATCATCATATCAAACTGGAAGGAATATAAACTCAATTTACACATCCAGAGGAAATTATATTTTGGAGGGACAATTAAAAGTAATATATTTGAATAGCTTGATTCTATCAGAAACTTCTTTGTAAAGCTTAGCTTTAGACATCATAAGGAAGTAGAGGATAATCGGAAAAAAAAACATAGGGATTTATTTGGACCTAGTGAAGAATAGGGGCCCTGGTGGTGGAGTGATTAAGAGCTCGGCTGCTAACCAAAAGGTCAGCAGTTCAAATCCACCAGCCGCTCCTTGGAAACCTTATGGGGCAGTTCTACTCTGTCCTATAGGGTCACTGTGAGTCGGAATCAACTTGACAGCAACAGGTTTGGTTTGTTTTTGGTTTAGTGAAGAGTGTGAAATTAAGAAAAATAAACAGAAGACAGACTTGGGAGTCCAAATAAATACATTATAGTAGTATAATATTAAATGAGAAAATAAAGACCAAATGTCTAATAGTCTAAAATAAAGCAACAATAACTTTATATATGTTTACCTAAATACATATATATATGCATATACTATTTATATATGTATATAGTATAT